GCGGCAACCAAGTCCTAAAAGGCGATGAAGGAAGACATCAGGTGCACCCCCCAGAGCTGCCGGCCTGCCCGAGCCCCGCTGTCCCCTCCCCGGCGGGAGCCGGGATGCTCGCAGCCAGGCGGCAGTTCGCAGCTCCGTTGGGGGACCGCGGTGAACGCCAGCGTGAGCCGAGCAGGAGGCGGCAGAAAACAGGCCTCCGTCGTCTTAACAGCAAGAGACTGACCAAGGGCGGTGCTGGACTGCTTTCCAGCAGAGAGGGGGAAACACTGACGGCAGCCACTGGGGAGACCCCGCTATTCGGTGCACTTTGCACTAGCCTTCGGCTAAAGACAGCTATGGGGAAATGGATAGCACAAGCCTTGCTGGAGATGGGGGCTAAAAGTCTGGCCTTGACTAAGGAAAGCACAAGTAAGAGAGTATTTAGATAAATGGGAGTTTTTCTGATCATCTGGGCATGGTGAACTTCATGCAAAGCAATCCCAGAAATATTTCCTGTTATCTGTGAGAATTTCTGGGGACAGCAAGGCATGGAAAGACAGTAAAATGCAAGCTTTGTACACCCCCTTCAAAATGGGGAATGGGGTCAAAAGCCAGGAGCTGCTGACAACTAAATCCCCTCACGCACCTACCACCCCAAAAAATGCTGGAACAAATAATCTCACTACTTGTAAGCAGTGGAGATGAGCAGGAGCCATATAGATGTGTCAAGAACAGAATTTGGTCAAAATAATGTGATTTTTCCTCTATGACAGGGTAAAGGCACGGCAAAGAAGAGCCCTGGCTGACATTTAAGTGGCTCTTAAGGATGATGTAGATGGGATGTTGGGTAGGTACAAAACCCATTGGATAATTATACCCAGAGAGTTATCTACAGTTCACTGTTGAAAAGGAAGGGATCTGTTGAGAGAAGCTCACGGACATCTGTTCTGGGTCTGGTTTTGTTCAGCATTTCCACTAACGATCTGGATGATGGAGGAGAATGTGCACTTGCTAAATCTAAATATCCAGTGACAAAGTTACTTGCTTAACGTGTCTGTAGAATAACCAGGACTCTGGTAAAAACCACCTGCTTGGGTTGCAGTACAAAGGAGATACAGCTAGGGAGTTACTGGGGACTTGTGAGAGAGAGAGTTCCTGGAGAAGCTCTGTAGGAAACCTGCTGTATTTGTGCTGGACCAGAGAGTGTGATGTCCGTGCCCTGGCCCCATGTGGGAGGCTGCACTGGCTCAGCTGCATTTGGAAGGCAGGTGGTATTTGGAAAGAAGGGGACCTGTCCCAGAGCTCTCTGCTGCCAGCTTGCTCACTTCATTTTTTACTGTTGGCCACTTCTGGTGTCTGCAGATTTTAAGGTTTTTCTCAAGGTTATGTCAGTTATTTGGTGACATTGTACAAAATGCTCTCAGCTCAGAGCTGGTGTGTGGTTTGCTGTTTGGATCCTACACAGTGTAATACCTCTGACTGCAAAGACTGGGGCAAGGCCCCTTCCAGGGCAACGCCCCACCATCTTCTCTGTACAGGATTGGGAAAGAGAAACTTGAACCAACTAGCCAGACTGTAGAGACACTGGCCACACACTTGCATGTACCAGTTGCCTCGTGTGGGTACTGACCGAGTCGGTCCTGCTCAGAAATCAGACTGGTCTGGCGTAACATTAGTTGAAATGACTGCATGGAAAACCTCAGGCTGAAAAATCAGTACCTAAACTAGGTCTTGACTTTTTCCCACTGGCTCCAACAGGAAATCGTGAGAACTGTGTGCTGGAGTTGGCCTTCTACTCTGTATATTTGGGCACATCTTCATTGGATGAGTCCTGCAACAGTCAGCAGCAGCCAGCCATGTACACTCCCACCCCAACCAAACCTCATCTTCTATGTTGGAAAAGTAGAGGAGCAACATGGAGAACAACCAAAGCTGCACAGAAACTACTCAAGGAAAGCAGAGCCAATGGAGCCAGTTAAAAGGGAAGGAGGAACTCATGTTGCTCTTGGCTTCAGCTGGGGAGAGGAGAAGGGAGAATTTTCTTTCCCTCCATAGACACATCACCCAAGTGAAAGGGAAACTGAGTCCCCTTCAATTTCCTCTCCAGGCAAAGCTGTGTTTTTATGAGAGGTGTTTGTTCTGGCTTTGCCATGTTCCCACCTGTGCTTGAGATCAGCACAGGGTGGAGGGGCTGGAAAGGGTGGAGGGGCTGGAAAGGGTGGAGGGGAAGGACCAAGTGTGTAAAGAGCTGAAGTCCTACATCAAGGAGTGGGAGAGGATTGTGGCACTGCCCCACTTGGGTTATCAGGGAAAGGAATTGGACTCAGCTGTGAGTCAGGCTCAGTGGAAGAGAGAGAAGCCCAGGCCTTCTTTCTTCCCTTAGGGGAGAGGGCCATGGCAAAGGGAGTTAAGCACAATAGCACCAAGATGAGGTATGTGTTTGGTGGAAAGGCTGCTGGATTGAGGCTTCAGCATGGAACAGAGACTAAGCACTGAAGCTACCTCAGCTGCACTGGTGCCCAGCAGCAAGGTAGGATCCAGGTTATGATGCATGGTCTTGTCTTGGATGCGCTATGTCTATGTTTTAGATGTTTATGATTGATCTTTGAATGCACGTTGCAGATAGGGTTGTGCTTCCAGCTGTAGCTGTTTCAGTGCAGGGTAACTTGGCTCTCTCATTTTGGAGTAGCTCAGAGCAAAGAATAATTTTGTTGCAGTGACACTGGGCTGGCAGCTGCTGCTGCTTTCAGTATCTGCTCACCGATACCTTCAGCAGCAGCTGCTCACTGCAGAATAGGCTTTGGCAAAGACTGAGTGGTTCATACGCTTTGCTTCTGAGGGACCTCTGACTGTGCCCTAGTGAGGACCCCTTCTTAGCAAAGAGCTTGCTTCCTCTGCATGCTAACAACATTGCAGAAACCTGGTTTATGCCAGGTTTGCCTATCCCATTTGTCCAAGTAAGATAGTTTGTTGTCGTGATATGTTTTGGGTTTGTTTTTTCCCTAAGTGAAAAGTAAAATATTGGCGTTGTGCTTTCCCCTTGGAACATGTGCCTGATGAAGGAAAAGGATGATGCACTGGGTAGGGAAGTCCTGCTCCCCTGCTGCATGTGGAGTTTACTTGGGCCCCTGGAGGAACCTGCTGCATCCCTCTGCACTGGCTGAAGCAGCAAGTCCATCTCAGGAGAGCCACCTCTGTTTTACAGTTTTACCAACAGGAACTGCACAGGAGCAGGCTAGCAGGGCAGGTTGCTGAAGCTGGCCTGTCCCCTGGAGACTGCGGTTCGGAGCGGGAGTGCCTGGAAAGGCTCTCCTGTCCTGGGCTGCCGGGAGCCCAAATGCACTGGCCCGATCCAGCACGGTGGGGACGTCAGCCAGGAGAGTCTCGACCCTCCTGTTGCAGTGGGTGCATGCAGACAGGGAGCAGGGAGGGGGCTTGTTTTCCCCTTCATGCTGTGTCCACAGGTTTTTGCTGTCCAGAAGAGGCAGGTATTTGATTTGTAAGTGAGGACAGAGGTGGCTCCTCCAAACATCAGGCCCCTCTTCTGACTCAGGCTGCCTTGTGCTGGTGCTTCCAAGGATGCTTGCTCTTGCCTGGGCTGCTAGCACCTGATTTCTGAGTCTTCAGACGCAGGATTGTGCTCTCAATAACCAGACAGGCAGAAGCCTTAAAGTGATTGTGCCAACTTTTATTTTATTATCTTTTTTTGGAAATGGGATTTGGAGAAGGGGAGGGAAGGAGATGTGCAAGGGGGAACTGATTGTTGCAAAAGGAGATGCTTTGGATGTACACTGGCAAAGATGTTCCTGTCTGACTGGAAATGACTGAAGCACTAAAGCATGACAGGCAGGACACTGCCTCGGTGGAACTGCTTATGGGGTTTTTTGTTTTAAGGTCTGCTTTGTAGGTTATTTCACGTAGAAAACAGAAAAAGCATATTTTAGTGTCTACATATGCATTTGTATATATATAAGATATATATACACACACATATTTTATATCCTTACAACTCCCATTTCCTAAAGGCTTCAAGTCTGAAGGGCCATGCATATATATGCATTATAAAGAGAGATGCCAATTGACTGAGACAAGGCTTTTCTTACTGGCTGTGTGATAAGTAACTGGGCAAGGCGTCTTTAACTGAAATCTTGCACATGTGCAGGGAGAAGGGGTCAGCCAAGCACCAAATGGTAGCCCCTTGTGTTGCCCTGTCCCTAGCTGTTCCCTGCAAGGGTGGCATCTGGCTGCCTGTGCTGTCCCAGGGATTTGGGGAGCTCACCCCTGTGGGGCTTGCAGGGGCAGATTGAAACATACTTGGTTCTGCTGCCTGTGGGTCAGGCACCCCGCATGTCGGGGCTCCTATTTCCCCAAGGGGTTTCCAGTAGACTGTTTTGGTTTCTTTATCACGAAGGAGGAGGTTTGGTGGGCAAGAGGGGAGGGGGTTTGGGAGGGGAAAGACAGTCAAAATTCACCATACGATAGTTAGACAAATCTTCATAGAGGTCCATCTTCCTGCTCACCGCTCGCTCTTGCTCTCTCTCGCTCTCTTGCTCTCTCGTGTTCACTCGTTCTCTGCAGGACGTACGCTGTTGTAGGGCTAAAGGTCTCCTTTTGTCAGGCTAAGGTCAAGTCCCTGGTTGGCGGAGGGCAGCCCTTCATACGGGCCTGTCCACGGCGTACTGGCAAGGGCTCAGATTGGAAGTTGCCGTCTGCACCGCCGGGTAGGTGAAGTTAGCGTGCTGCTTGGCCTTCAGCCGCAGGCTGGCCAGGCTGGAGTTGCATGTGTCCCTGTACATGTAGGGGCTGGCTGTTGAGGCGTAAGGACAGGCACTGGATGAGACAGCAGAGTTGAGGCTTGGGCTGTTCAGATTGTTGATGTTTCCCAGGTTGTTGAGGCTGGAGGCTGGTACTCCGGTCACTGCTGAAGGGACCATAGATGAAGGCATGGTCATCGAGGCGATGGAGCTGGGTGGGGAGAACATGGGCTGGGAGGAGAGGGGACTGACGTTCATGGAGTTGAAGAACGGGAAGCTCTTGGCCGAAAGTGGACTGGTGGCAAGGCCCTTGGTGGCCCAGTTGTTGTAGGAATAGCTGGAATACATGTCATCATAAGGCTGCATCAGTCCGTTGAACTGGGCTCCAAAGCTGTTCTTGCACAGTTCGGCCTGTTGGTTCCTCTCCCGTTTCCTCCACTTAGCTCTGCGGTTTTTGAACCAGACCTGAGAGAGAGAGAGAGAGAGAGAGAGGGAGGGGATGGGAATTGCTCTGGGCTGTCCCTGGAAGATGTCTTGCCCTAGTCTCTTTGCCCAGCAAGGTGAGAGCTGTCAAAGGGCTAGGGATGATCCCAGGGAGCTGGGAGGCTGAGCATCAGGAAACAGTTGCAGCAAGATGCCTGGGCTGCAGGGTCATCTCCCAGCGAGAATCACCACCTAGATCAAAACCCAACTACTGCCATTTTACAACGCGTAGAATAAACCACCTCGCTCAACAAAGAGATGTCCTTTATACAGAGAAAAGGGAGGAAGATGCTTGCTATATTTTCAGGTGACCACAGCCCAGGAGGAGGGTTGTGTGACTTGGGAGCAAAGCATTTGGGGGATGTGGTTTGAAAGCTGCTGAGTGGAGGAAATAACCTCCCTTGTTTTGATGTCACCTCAGGACCAGCTTGGGGTGGGGTGTTAGAAGTCTGTCTTCTAAGAGGAAAATCTGTTAGTGTTGGAGGGACCCGAACAATATAACTTCCTAGAGTGTGGAAGCTGCTGGAAAGCTATTCATGGTGCTTCTATCTCATATTTCTAGTAGCAGAGAGAAGCTCTCACTCCAGCTGGAGCCCTGCCATGCTACACCTGTGACTGCACAGTGGTTTGGGAACCCCAAAGAGCGCCCTCCAGCAAGGCTAAGGCTGGGGGATGATGGCACTGCAAGGAAGGGGTCTGCCAGGTCAGAGCAGCCAGCTGGTGGAGCTCTGTGGGGCAGAGCCTGGGCTTTGCATCTCCCTGTGTTATTGCAAGGTGGGACTGGACAGGGAAGGCATCACCAGCATGGGGTATGTGTGTGGCTGGATGTGTCAAATCTCCGGTGTAGAGCCTGGTCAGGTGTTTTCAAGACAGGGAAGTTTTCTAGTACCCCTAATTTCTTCCTTGGTTTGGGGACAGCTTGGTGGCTTGTATCCCAGTCAACTTCCTCCCCACAAGTATGGGCTCGGGAAGGTAGGAGGGCTGCAGTCCTACCCGGACTCGTGCCTCCGTCAAGTTTGTCCAGACTGCAATCTCCTCCCTGGTGCTCATGTCTGGGTAACGGTTTCTCTGGAAAGTGGCTTCCAGCTCCTGGAGCTGCTGGCTGGTGAAGTGTGTCCTCTGCCTCCGCTGCTTCTTCTTGAGTGAGCCGTCTTCAGGGTTGGAGTCGTCCGTTTGGTTTTGCTGGGACTTCTCGGTGTCTGTGCAGGAAACAGAAAGATGGGAGAGATCCCCTGAGTTAACTTGGGGGCTTCGATGCATTTGGGGAGCATGTCCTTGGGGCAGCCAGTGCGTGCTTAGTGAGATCCCCCTCTGCTGCACCCACCAGCAGCTCCAGCTACACCCACAGGAGTCTCCCTCCCTCGCCCTTGTGAGCAGGCATCCATCCTGCACCAAAACCAACGGCCCCTTGATGCAGCACAGCTTGCCCTCGTTTAACTGTGGTAATGGGTGTCAGCTTCCAAGTGACTGGATTCATACTTTCCATACTTCCAATCTCTGGTTTTCACTTGTCGCAGTTAAGATGGGTGACAGTGGCAGAACTTACCCAGGCCAGCAGAGTCCTACTCTACTTAAAACTCTCTGCCTAAGGAGCCCTTTAGAAAAACTGAATGGAAATTGTCTCTTATGACACAGCAAAAGATCCAGTAGTGGTTTTGTGAACAAGTAATGGGAAAAGGCAAATTGCCAATGATAGCAAGTTGAGGCTCTTTAATTAACTAAACCTGAGAAGCACAAATTTTATTCCTTCCTCCCTTCTTACTCCTCTAGCTTCTTACTTAGGTGCACGTATTTTTATTTTTAAAAAGTAGGAAAAGGCCTCTCTTGGACCTTACCATGAAGTACTCCAGAATCTATCTCCCTGTCCTTCTGCCCCTGCCCTCCTCCTCACTCGGAGATCCCTTTCCTGGAGGCAATGTCTTTCATGTCATTTCCCCTTAAATGAACATCTTGAAACTCTCCAGTGCTCACACTGGTATCTAACTGAAAAGTACTGCTCAGCCTCCTCCTAGGCATTAAGCCCAGGCCTTAATGCTGAGCTTTGGGCTGCCGAGGCTAGAGGTGGGCAGCTAGGTACTTCCCTGTGCCACAGCCTGTCCTGGAGCTGTTGGTACTCTGCAAACAGGGACAGAATACAAATACAAATATCTTCCATCACCAAAAGAAAATGTCGCATTTGAGCACTTGGGCAATCTATGGAGGACAACTACAGGGAGGAAAGCTACAGTTTGTGTTTAATTCTGCTGGGAACCAAGACAAGTCACCATAGAATAAAATTATTCCCATGAAAATAAATAATTCCTGATGTTCACCTCCTCCTTCCTTCAATCTAGAAGCAAGGTGAAGCAGTTCCAACTAAAAATCACATTTTCAGCAGGGAGGGGAGGTGTTCTTTTACAGTGGGAAAGACTCAGCTGAACTAAGTAGAAATCATTGCAAACAGTTGCCCAACTGTTGCTTCTGGCAGAAGAACCTTTAAAAAATCCTGGTGTCACTCCACGGACATTCAGATTGAAAGGATTTTTTATTTGGTTGTGTTTTTTTAAGTGGAAGCTATCTTAAAAGGCTTCAAAGTCTAGAAAAATCCTAACATGGAAGGTGTCTTGTAGAGCCTCTTAAAAAGCAGGGAGGCAAGAAAACAGTAACCTGGAATACAGCTGGGTGAGTTAAAAGAGAGCCTAAGAGAGCCTGAAAAGCACCTGAGCCCTGACAGAGAAACGACTCTGCTGCAGGGCAGTGCTGTACCCAACAGCAGGTGCTTTGATGGAGGCCAGCCCTGGGAGACACTCCTGTCCCAGGAACCTGGTGCCACTACCCTGTTCCCGTGGCAGCGTGTTAATTCAGAAACCTCTCCCTGCTGTTTCTGGGAAAAGCCTCCTTGCACCTGCCTTCCTTCAAAGGTAGCAATGCTGGAGTCACGGGGAGCAGGAGAGGAACTCGCTCTTCATGGAGGAAAGCCTGGATGTGGTCAGAAAAGTTCTGTTTCTATGGGTATGCGTTGCACTGACTGAAGCTATGCAGGTTCCCCCAGGCTCCCCACCAGCCACCTCTGCTTCTGTAGCACTGTCCACCAGCAGGAAAGCTAATGCAAGGAGAGCAAGCTGGCTATTGCTCACAACAGCAGGGCACAAGCTGGTTCTGCTGAGCAGGCAGGTGCTGTCTCATGTTCCCAGTGCCAGGACCAGCTTGTATTTCCATCCAGGCTGTACTTGCAGGAGAACTTTCCTGGTGCACTCTTGAAACAGATGAAGCCATAGGACCTGGAAAGTGGAACAGTAGGAGCTGGCTGTGGACTTGTGGTACTCTCCTTGTTCCCATAAGCATCTTCACGTGCGGATCCCACATTCAGCAGAAGCATGCTCTTAATGTGGGTTTTGGGTTTTTTTAATAGTGGTTCTTGCCAAGGAGATAAATCTGATTTCTCTAGCTCAGTGCTCTAAGCCAGTGTTGGAAGAGGGAGATTCCCGCATTATCCATCTCTAGAAGAGTTTAAAAGGGGAGTGATGCCACCACGTCTGAGCTAGTTATTAGGAATGGCACAGTACAGATGAAGAGACAACATTTGGTTTGTTCGTTCATCTGCTAAGTCTGGATTAATTAAGAGCCCGATGCATACAGGGGATATGTTCCCACAGGAGCCCCTGACAAATGCGGATTTCCAAAGGGTCTGCTGCCAAGCAGGAGGCTGTGCCCTAATCGGGAGCTCCTGCTCAGCACTGCCCTTCTTCACTCAGGAAGAAACTATACTGAGAGGAAAGCAGAATGGCATGAGGGTACCACTGGCTTATGGGCTGCATCTGGGTGCAAGAGCTCACCAAGTATCTTGCTTTGGTATTCGTCTTCTCCATACCTTCTGGTGTAGAACTTTACATAAATCTTGTGAAGTTCAAGGAGATGTAAGAATCCTAACTTTGAGCCTGGAAAAAAATCTCTGCAGCTACACATTCCTCTCATTGTCTTCTCTGTTTCCGTATCTGCTACCCGTGGCTCTTCCTGAGTATTGCTTATTGGGAGTGTCATCTCCATTTCTGCTTCTTCTCTAGGCAAGGGAAAAGTGCCCTCTGTAAATGGTGCAGAGCTTGGGTGTTGCAATGAGGACCAAAAGCATGGCAATACAGGGAAACAATAAACCCCACAGGGAGGATGGACCCCGTAGGTACCCTGAATCCATGCTGAAGCTCAGAATACAGGAAGATGCAGGGCAGTTCCTTACCTCCTCCTTCCCCATCCTTGCTCTCCCCCTGACCTGTGCTTCCTGATGAAACCTAACAGAAGAGTGTGTCACACGGTCAGAGGACACTTCGGATCTCTGAGAGCTGAGACCAGACAAGCAAGGTTTGTACTCCCTTCCTCGGGATCTCTTACTCTGCAGATGAAGGAAGCAGAGCCAAGGAGGAGTAGGGAGGCTGGTCTCTTGAGGAGAGGCAAGAAGTGCCAGAAGCGCAGCCCTGCCCATCCTGGGCAACCCTCAGTGGCATGCTCTGCTCTGCCTGACACTGGTAACGTGAGGCTGCCATCGGCCTCTTTGCTGCGAATGCACGAGCTGCCAGCCTCTGGGCGCAGGTAGTGTTGGCAAACACCCGCCTCCCAGAATCATTTTATTTCTAGACCATTTAAGACGGCGGAGAGTGACGTAGCCAGGCACCCAGCATTTATTGTCAATCCAAAATAGGTTGTGGAATATATCTCGTGCACATTCGCCCACTCAATGAAATGACTGCGGTCATAGCTGGAATTAGCTGCTCATGCCTAATGGAAAAAAAGTCAGTTCCTAAATAGGCAGTTCTGCGGCATGCCAGGGTGGGCTCGATCAGGAAGGCCACTTGAATGGAGACGACTGCCGTGCATCCAAAGCAGCTGACGAGGAGCCACTGAGCTTGGGGATGTGCCCAACTAAGGTACGCGTGCAGTGGGGAATTTGGCGAGTGGATTCCCTGACCATAGTTATCCCAGCGTAACTCCCTTTGTGACACTTACTGTGGGGAATTTTAATCTGCATCATTATGCTTATTAGCTTTCACACGCGTGTGAGCCTGGAGGCTTTACGCAGGGAGCAGCAGGCTGTCCCCAGCACTCACCTCCCCTCATGTTGGCCCTGGCAGGGGCAGCTTTGCATTGTCCTACCACATCCAGAGCAATAAGGGATGGAGAGATCACAGGACAGATGCAAAATCCAGAGGAAGCCATAGGATTCAGTAGCTGATTTCTGAGCAGGTGTGAATAGTGATGTTTGTTCTTCAGAGCCTGATAAACAATGCAGTAGGCTTGGGGTTTGTTCAGCCTTTGGGAATGGTCAGAGTCACCTCCCTGGGACAGGAGCAGCCCTCTGCGGAGCCTTGCACAGGTGACAGGCTTTTTCAATTAAAGCAGGGGCAAGACAGTATTTCTCTTCTTATTGCCTGAAAGTTCAGCCCAAGGTTAACATGTAACATAGTAAGTTTCAACCTAAGCAGTTTAAACAGAGAGTTGTTGGGGTTTTGGTTTTTTGGGGGTTTTTTTGTTTTTGTTTTTTAAAAAAGGGCACCTTATAACTAGGTGTAGCCTTCTGTGCCTTGGATGAGATTTCCCATGTTGCAGGGAGAGTTATCCTGCTCTGGGGACTTGGTTTAGGTGACTACAGTAAAACCTTAGCTGGGCAGTGACCTGGCTTGCCCGACTCCTGTCTGCAAAGGGCTGTGCCCTCTGTCAGCAGTGGCTTCCTGCAGCCGGGGCTAGGCAACCCCATTGCTGAGATGGTGCTCTCGCCCTCCCAATGGCTGTCATTGCGATATGCACCCCTATGCCTTCCCCCTGTTTGCTGGGATGGCCATGCCACTGCAGAAAGGATGTCCCTGGGAGCACTGCAGCCTCCTGCAAGCCACTGGCCATTCAGATCCACCCGCAAGGATGGGTCAGGGCCTCTCTTGCATTTTGAGCCTTGCACTCACCACTGTGGTCCTGCCCTTTGCAGCTGTGCTCGTGTTGAGGGGTTCCAGAGTCCGAGAGAGACAAGGCTGGGCTGCGAGCCTCCGCGTCTGCCAGCAGGTTGAAATCCATGGGGCAGAGATGGGTGGTGGAGGAGGAGGAATCTGAAAAAGCAGCAGATACAGGGTGATTAGTGAGATGAATCTGTGTGTGTGACCTCTCCCTGCCCCCTCTGCGAGGGACTTGCCAACCCTTGAGGAAAGGTCTAGGAAAAGCAAAGGATCCCTGTGGGATCCTTGGATCCCTTGAGTTTCCTGGCTGGAAAATGGACATGCTGGGCTTTCTGCTGAGCTTCCCTATAAATCAAAGATCATCTAGTGACACTTCTATTTGCAGCCTTCAGAGAAAGAGCCTCCAATTTATAGGTGACATTCAGACTGAAATAGCAACGCCAGGAGCATGCTGTGTAACGGAGATCTGAGGAAGTGGTTCTGGGCCAGCCAAGGGCTGTTAGCACCTTCCCCAGACATCTCGCCTCTCCCATCCTCCCTGCCCCGCTTCCCTCCTCTCTCTCCCTCACTTCTCCCCAAACCAGTCAAGCCCTAGTAAAGCTGTCCAGAGAGCACTAATGCAGATGTACACACACACATATCCCAAAACAAAAGCACTCCTGTCCGTGGCACTGATAGGAAGACATGTCTGCCTGCACAGCCACTCTTGCTGCGAGCAGGGACCCAGGCAGTCCAAGTGGACTCCTTTGGGGTAGCAAGGACCTCTGGAGCCTGAATTAACATGGGAATCACATTACACACCCTTGGGTGCCTGGGAATGAGTGATGCTGGCTGCAGCAGCTTGTTTCCAGCCTTGGGACATCCTGGCTGAAGGCTCCCCATGCCCCCTCAAATGACTGTCCTGTGTCCATGAGACACCTCCCCTGGCTGAAAGCATCCCAGCTGGGAAGCTGGCAGTGCTGCTCCCCGCAACTGCGGGCACCACTGGGACTCATATTCCACGTTTTTCCACACCTCTCTGTCCCAGGATCAATTATTCTCAGAGTGCTTTCCCACGGGGCCCCAACACCCTCCACCTGTATTGCCCAGAAGAGTTTGTCCGAGAGCACCGCTTTGTTCTGGGTCACACCAGATGCTCATGAAGAGGCAGGCATGAAGCAGTACTTGCTACAAGCCCAGCCACATCACCTTGGAAAGGTGAGTTGGCCCCGTGTTAGCCCTTAATTGGAGTTTTGGATGAAAACCCTGCCACATGCAGGACCACGGATTGCCACCAATGCAGGTGTAATGGTTTCTGAGGGGACCACGGCAGATCCTGAAACTCTGGTCACCCCAGCTAATACCTCATCTTCCCAGCTAAGGAGCCTTTCACTCTAAAAGATAACAGCAGCTGATTCACTGTGCTGGGATCTGGGACCCTCAGGTTTACAGAGGTTTTGACCAGGCATTTGGGACTTCCAAACTGCAGGTGGAGGTCAGTTGTGAAGACTGGATTCTAGGTGGTGAAGGATTGCCCAGACCCTTAAATCCATGCATATTGGAGAGGGAGCTTGCTGAAGGCAGTATTTTGTCTGGACTGCGCTAGTGTTTAGACAGAGATTAATCATGTAGCTGTTGCACCTCCTTTGGAGGTGGATGACAGTGACTAAGAATGTATTTTCAGAGCTGTCTAAAACCTCCTGTCAATTTGAGCAGGGCTGCCGCCAGGGCCCTTGGCAAGGCAGACCCCCATACCTGCAGCGTGCTTCCCAGGCTGGTGAGAGGACAGGGAGCCATTTCTAATGGTTATCCACCTGGTTTCTGCAGTAGATCTTGCTTACAAAATGCTCAGCAGTTTCCCTTGCTTTCCCCTTCGCTTGACCTCCATCCCCACCCTTTCCTGGGTGCGGACAAATCTATCTCAACACCAGCCTCAACTGGCACTCTCTGAAAGCAGCATCTAATGAAGGGACCTGGTGCCGGTTTCCCAGACCTTTGCCTCACTTCAGGCATCTCCTCTCCTGTGGGACAGAAGCAGCAGGGGCTCCATCTTTGCTGTGAGGCTGCTTTCCATTTCCACCTCACGGTGAGCTGACCTTTGATGTCTACCAGCTGTGTAAGCTCCTGGCAGCAGCAGGGCACAGCCCTGTTGCTTTTTGCCATGTGTATGTACACGAAGTGATGTGACAGGGGCTGTGTTTTCTTTAATACCTTTGCATGGAGTAGGGGGAGTCCATCTGCTGCTGATATTGCCATGGCTTTTAGCATTACTCTCGGAATTATGCAGAAACGCACAGTGAATTAATTCCATGGATTAAGTCTTGATTAAGATGTGTGTCACTTTGCTGTCTCAGAATTTATTAAGAGCCCTTCTTGAGGCAGCAGCAGATGGAATTTCTGCCCAATGTTTGTAGATGATAATTTCCCCTCTTCTACAGCCATTTGCATATGATTGCATCTGTCAAGCACAATTTCCTCTCTTCTAGGACTTGACTCCGTACTGGACCAGATTTAAGGAGGAATTCAGACTCCTGCCTTGCTGTAACTGAAGGACAGTGTCCTCCTGTGCAGGGTCCTGTTTGCTTTGAGACTTTTTGCACATCTTGCATTGCTTTCATCTGTGCCAACTACAGCAGAGATGGGAAAACCAGGAGGAGTATTTTACAGCTGGTTCCATAGGTGTAAATGACAACACCAGGCAACAGGCTCAGGGGAACCCAATCCCGGTGTTGAAAATTCATGCCCCATTGCGAACCGCACCAGTGCAGGGGTTATGAGGGTAATCCAAGCTGCTGTGCACAACGCAGCATGCTTGGCCTACCTCAGAGATGCGGCCGGCACCTAGATTAAAACTGATTTTAAAGTGTAGCCCATATTCAAGTTGAAACTGGGACTTGCAGCTCAGAACAAGTTTGCTTTTTGAACTGAATTTAAAACTAAGAGTATTTCAGAGAGATTTTGTATGCATATAAGCAATTACATACCTATTGCATGTGCCCTACATGGTGGCATCAAGGAAGGCCTTCTCAGATCGCTGTGAGCAGGTCACGGAGAAGTAAAAGCAGAGGGAGAGGGGGTTCTGCTCACCACAGTTGTGAAGGGCCACAGGAAAAGTCTGTGATGGGGACAGCATGTGAGCTCTGTATCAATGTATTTACCCAAAGGCAAGCCCAGGCCACTGACACAAAAGGCTGTAGGTATTATTCTAGATTACACATCCCTTTTGGATTTAATTAAAGGAGCTTTCTTCCCCATTGCCTAGATCTCACTGTAGGCAGAGACATTAAGAAAGTCAATGCAAAACCTTCATGGCATTTCTACTAAGTTGTTTGCCTGGTCTCAGAGAGTTACTGAAACTGGCACCTCAGAAACGTCTTTGGACAAAATCAAATTTATCATCTCCATCTGAATCTTCATCACGTTTTCTTTTAACAGAAAAGAAGGGTTTCTTTAGGGACAGCTTCAGTACCAGCAACAAGCAGCCAGGCTTGCTCAGAGGTTTCAGTTTTATAAAACTAGCCCTGGCTCCTAGCCTGCTCCAGCACCTGTAACTCCTTCCATCAATGTACATAATTGCTTCCAAGATAAAAGTTCCCAAACCTGTAACAAATGTGCCTTTTTTTTCCAGTCGCTACTCATGTGCATCCTCACCCTGGCTTCTGCACAACAGTGCCTGCAGCCACCTGTGCAGGACCCTCCAGCCGGACAGGGAGCTGCTGTCCTTGCCTCATGGGCATGGTGGAGGGCAGGGGGAAGAGAGTGGCTCTGGCTCTAGGCTTTTTCTTCTTTCAAATTCACCCCCTTTCTATTTCTGTATCACTGCCAGGCTGCCCAATGCAGGGCCTTTGGGGCAGGAGGAGGAGGGCAACCTTGTTTACCCAAAAAGAGCAAGTGAGGGTCCCTGTGACCTCTCTCCTGGTTCTCAGTAACATGCTGCTCCATGACCTGGGAGCAAAGAGGCCTTTGCTTGGGTTCTTTGGAGGGTCAGGAAGGAAACATAAAGGCTGACTGTGAGCCAAGTAAGGCTAATTATAGTGGTGGCTTTTGTGATGTGGAGGGTGCCCTCTGAGAGCTGCCTTCAGACTGACAAGTGCGTGCTGCTCAACACCCTGTGCTACCATCAGGGAGCA